AAAATAATCATGAGTCTTATCCTACAAAGAGGAAGAAGAATATTGATATGTTTCAAAGTAACATAGATGGAAAGTAGGCAATTCTTGCCATTACGCTCCAACCAAAAAACTTAAAAACCTAGAAGAAATTGCAACTCTCGAAATGATCCTCACTTCCTTTTTCAATTCATCCCCTTTTGTATATCAAGGACACAAAAGACCTTCCAAGTGAGGGATAGAAAACTAAAACCAAGCCATAAGTATTAAAAAAGTTGTCCAAAATTTCAAGGCTGCATCATAATGGAGGAATGTCAGTCCATGGGATTCATTCCAAGTATAGAGCTATGTTGGGCCTGTGAACTTGTAGTAACTTGTTACTATTATGTTTGTTAAACACATCAATCTTATTAAAAGCTTTTAGCTTCAAAGGAGTTTCTCTTTCCAAAATTTATTGGTGAGAAATTCATTCTAGCTACTGAAATATTAGTAAGGTGTTGAAAATGTTTGTGCATGTATATGTACTTGAAAAATCTAGGGTCCAAATAACGATGTGGCTAAACTAATAATCCCCTCTTTACTCATGTCACAACTATCTTCTGGCATAACTACTGAGTTTTTATTTTCCAAAACATTCAACATAGATTTAGAGATCAAGTGTGTATCAAGTGTAAAATCAAAACCTTTCTTCTCTTGAGCAAAGACCAAGGAGCCTTCACCAAGTTTCAGCTCATCTTCTCCAAAACCGTAATAATACCCACCTTCATCAAGTTTTCCCATTATAAATCAAATTTAGATGAAGAATATGCGAACATCCATCATTTTTAGGTGAAAGTTATACTCCATTTGCTAGTCTTTAAACAAACATCCCCAATACCTGCAACTTCTGAATCATTATCATTAACCATTCTTATTATTCCAAAGTCATGTAGGACGATAAGAATTCTTTCCGTTGAGCAAAGCAACGCGAGCTAGCAACATCTATAACTTAGCTTATCCATTACAAATGAAATTCATAACATCTTCTTCACAGACAAGAATGATATTATTAATCAACTGCAGTGGGTGCAACTAGATCATCATTATTTAAAACCATTTTCTCCTACTTTCCATTGTTACCTATGTTCCCTATTTTCGAATAATAGAAATTCTTCTTAGTTGACCCAGCTCTCCACACTGATAGCACTAGACATTCAACTAAATATATGCTTTTAGATTTTTTTTTTCTTTTAATTCATTTTTCTATTTCTCATGCTGTTGGATAAAACGGTGCAATGAATTAATATGAAGCGGCACAGAAGGTCGATTATATGTATCTGTGGATTAGCACAGCTTTTTCTTAATTTGTTCTATTTTGTTTGGAAATAAACTTCAATAGAATTGATCATTAACATGCTTGAAATAAAAATGAAAAAATATTGGATGTTCCAAGAAAGAGTTCCCTTTCTACATCAGATTATTTTATATGTATATATTCTGATTATGGTTAATTATGCTCTCGTCCTAGACTATTTTCTTTCCTTTGTATAGTAATCATTGCAAACATATTAAATAAGAAACAAGATTTATATTTGAATAGGTTGATACTCATTCCCTTTCCCATTTTTCAAGCTTTAGAGATCATATATAAGATCATATATATCGACGTATAGAAACTTATAACTTTTTGCAGTGTCAAAGCAACAATAGAAAGGTACAAGAAAGCATGTTCTGATGCCACAAACCCAGGATCTGTCACTGAGGCCAATACTCAGGTAAAGCTTCATTTTTTCACTTCTATTTTTTTTTTTTCTTGGTTTTGAGATATAGAGTGTTTTAATATAAATTTTGTTCAGAAGTTAATTCCTTTTCAAATGGAAACAATATATGAATCATACATATATAACCACCTCTATGATCCTAGATACATATATTTTTTGTCAAATGGAAACCAGCCAGGTAAAAATTAAGTAGTTAATTGTTATTTTAAAGTTTAAAAAACTAGTGATGTTATAGTGTGATAGCACCATGGTGATCCTTGGTTACTCAGTTTTATCAGCAAGAAGCCACGAAACTGCGAAGACAGATCCGGGAGATTCAGAATTCCAACAGGTATGATTGATGAACTTACAAATATACTGTGTATATATGTTTATAAGTTTAATCATTTGAAGGGTGATGATAGATACATGGGTGATGTAATTTTTTCAAGGCATATTCTGGGTGAGGCTCTGGGCTCTTTGACTTTCAAGGAACTCAAGAATCTGGAAGGAAGACTGGAGAAAGGAATCAGCAGAATTAGATCCAAGAAGGTTTATCTTTGAATATTCTGAATTCCACCTCCTGCAACATGACATTACATCAACTTAAGTTTCTTAATCAACTAATATACAATATTGTTGAATTGTGGCAGAACGAACTTCTATTTGCTGAAATAGAGTACATGCAGAAGAGGGTAACTTCTCTTTTTTTCTTTCCTTATCCTTTGGTCTCTCTTCTTCTTCTTCTTCTTCTTATTATTATTATTAGGGTTTGTGTTAAGCATACAAGTTCATATGACATGATTTGTTTTAGAGGAAAATCAAATTTAGGCAGCCTTTCATAAACTACACTACAATATTAACTAAATAAATGTTAAATTTGTTGAAAATAATAATTTGTAAATTAAAAAAAAAAAAAAATTACGTTACTAAGAAATTAGAATTAATTACGATTAATGAAAACTTAAAAGTCTTTTTATTAGTTTCTCGTTGTCCTTTCTTTCATTTTCAGCAAAGTATTATTTAGAGTTAATCTATATTTTAAAATTTTTCCGACATTTTTACGATATGATCTTATTTTTAAAGGAAAATCAAATTTAGATTAGCCTTTCATAAACTACACTACAATACTAACTGAAGAAATGTTGAAGTCCAACATTAGAAAAGTGCAGTATGACACTTTGTTTAGTGCACAAAGTACTCATGCACTGAACAAGCAACAAGAATCGCGAACCCCGCGATCGAATGAGTCAAAATTTGGAGATCGTGTCAGTGTTTCGGAACTACTTTGGAATTGTAGTAGGATCCTGCAGTCTTTCAGTGGTTTCAGAACTGCATTTGAGCTCTGAGGGCCATTCTTGAGTCCCCAAAGCAAGACACAGTTGTAGTGGGTAGGTAGCTAGAGGTGAGCAAAGTTAGTAAGAAGTTGAGACATTAGAGAAGATGAATCAGTAATAAACTGTTGAAAATAATAATTTGTTAATTAAGTAGACTCTTCATCTGATTTGATTAAGGAGTTAAAAAATGATAATCTACAAATTAATCAGATTTTTTTTTTTATCTTACAAAAAGTTAAAGATTACAGATGTGTTTTTTTAGTTTTTCTTAGAAGCTCATAGTTCATAAATTGGAGTTAATTACAATTCATGTTTCTATAATTTTAAAAGTTATGTTAGTGTTTATATATAGTATAATATATTTGAAGGTTTTCTGTGACAATCACTGATGAAAACTAGTATTTATATTAGTCTCTCAGTTCTTCCTTCCTCTATGTTTCCAATAAAGTATTACCTAGAGTTTGACTATTTTCTAAAAATTTTCCAAACATAAATACTAGTGTTGGGGGAGAGCAGTTGTAGTTTAATTCTGGGTAATGTAATATCAACTTCCATTTTGCAGGAGATAGAGCTGCAGAATGATAATATGTATCTGAGAGCAAAGGTGTGTGTATACATGATAATATATGTATATGTATATATGTATAAATATTGAAATAATGAAAGTTGATGGGTGATGGGTTTTTTTTTTTCAGATAGCTGAAAATGAGAGAGTGCAAGAACAGCAACAATCCAATCTGATGCAGGGATCTGTTTATGAATCCATGCCTTCCCAATCACAAACCTATAACCGGAATTTCCTTCCTGTAAACCTTCTTGAACCCAATCATCAGTACTCCGCCGATGATCACACTGCTCTACAACTCGTGTAAGCTATATATATGCATATATATATATATATGGATTTTCTCGTTCAAATATCACTAAAACTTTTTAATTGGGTATGTTGTTTGCATGCAGTTGAAATCCGGGATGAGCAGCAGCTATATAACATATATATATATATATGTATGAAGCAGTAAAAGTGATATTTCCCGTATGTGTATGAGATTTGATCAGAGAGAGAAAGAGAGTATGGATAGTTGTAAGAAATTCAGCAACGTGAATGAATGATTTTAAATTCAGCAGCTATTTAGCTGTGTTAATTAAATTAGACATTTTAATTACCTTAAATCCTAACCCACTTCCCTATGAATTTAAATTAATCCATAGATTGATATTTGCAAATTACTATTTTCAATAGAACAAAGGTATAGGACAAGATGAACTTACCTTTTCATAACCACTGCCGATTCAACTTGTAATTTCAATTCCTTGACTAAACGTGTAATTTACAATTTGTTGAAGACCTACATCCATGATTAACGTCTACTGCGTGGTAACTTCATACTATTTTCTATTATGGACACGGAAGAAACAAATCGATATTATGCCAAGCAAAGTAAGAGTAGAGACTGAAGGCAAAACCTTCTTCTCTCTGGTCTCTTACCGTACCAATTTTCTGATGATTCCGAAAACGTAGTAATATGTAGAAGGTAAGAGAGAGCTTCGCTCGCTTCACCCAACGATTCTACATTTCCTAATAAACTTGTTTGACAAATTTACGTGTCGGCTCCATAAGCTTCGTACCTCTGGGAAACTAATCTCCAGCCATGGCTTTGCAGGGCCACTGAAATGTAAAACTGCAGCACCTTCCAAAGTTTTCTTGTCTACTTCTGGGGATCGACAACCTAACCCAGCCACATGCCATTGAGGATCCAGGGTATGAACTTGACCCTCAAAAGCAAGTAAAGCTGGTGGAAGCACCCCGGGTTTCCATAATTGCAATCCAGAGTTAAGACTCTGCAAAATTAATATAACTGTGTCATTGTAACAAATAAAGAAAAAGGCTATATAGATCTCCTCCACCAGAATGTTTCAGACAGACGGGCAAAAAGAATATTGGCATCATTGTTTGTAAAGCCATAAGACCTCAAAAACATGGGAATATTTTTCTGAACATTGAGATGGCCTCCAAATATTCAAGTATTTTACAAGAGATGGAAGGTGGTTAGCATGATCCAAGCAATTATTATGTTTATGATCTATAGAAAAAAGCTTTCCGCCCATGTGTAATCGAGTTGATTAGTTACTCTGACCTCAGTAAATGCTATTCTATCCATTTGGTAAACAGATTTGAAATAGAAGTAGAATCCCTTATATTTTAGTTAAAGCTTAAGCTCTATTTGGCAGCAGATGTCTAATAAGAAGCAACAAGTATCCCCCACAACATGAAAAAGAACATCACACCAGAAATGGCAATCAGATAATGACATTTTTAACCAATATCCATACGGCAACAAATTAAACGAAAGGAAAGAACGTACAAGCTTCAACCATTTATGGTAAGTTGCTGTGATGTTTATCCTCCTCCAAGCTTCAAGATCAAACACATTCATCCCATAAAGCCAAGCACAGCGGTCACGATCAAAGTTTGATGAAATTATTGGATGTGAAAAATTCAAGTAGTCCTCATATTTTCTCCCTGGGCAACAGTTCTGCCCGCAAAACGAATCAACAACTGCACCAACAGCTCTACCATTGAGATCCAATTCCCATAAATAAGATATGTCATGTTGTACCACTACATCGTCATCCAAGAAGACTATTTTGCTGAGATCTGGGAACAGCTGTTTGGCCCAGGAGAATCAGATGAAAGATCAATCAACATTAAAAAATTTCATTAACATCATATATTCAATCAAGTAAAATTCTTAAAAACATGAAAAAGTACCTCATGAATGTAAATACGAAGATGATTCATGATGGAGAGGCTGCTGGGGCTCAAGGCTTCTAAACATTTTTTATGCTCTCCATATTCAAAGTCTTCTTCTTTCAAATTGTTATAGTGATGGCTCCAAGTCAAACGATGAAACTCAAGCATCTCTTTGACTTCATTGTTCACACCCTGAGACCAATCATATTGATGCAATCCCTTAACTTCCACCACTGCTGATGGAATAGAGTTTATTGCAAACCATGCATGCATTGGAGTGTAAGTTTTCTTGTCAGTGACAATGTGAAACACCAATTTCTCTGGCTTGGCTGCATGTTGTACAGTAGACGAGATGACAACAGAGGCAGCAAGAACATTATCAGTTAGGAGAACAACATGTTGAAATGATGGGTCAGCAAGCCGAGAAACATATTCTGGTGGAGGTAAACGAGATCGAGCCATGGCATTTACAGCATACTCTTCAGCCAGTTTCAGACAAAGGCAATGTAGGCCCTTCGGAATACCATGAGAGGCTAAATGCCAATAAATCAACTCGTGTTTTCTGGCTGACTGGACCTTGTGCTCCATCCTTGATAGCTGCAGATAAAAGAGAATACCCCTCCTTTGTAAGAGAATAGTTATTCAAGATATTGGAGGAAGGTCGTAATAAGTAATCTTTTTTATCTATCAAAAAATAAAATAGCTAAACGACTTTTCTACAGTTGGAACAAAATGAAAGGTTCCTCTATTTGTTCAAAACTTGTATAACTCTAAATCTCTTTTCCATTTTCACACATACCAACATCTGTGGATTCATAAAAAGCCATGCACCAATCTCCTTGGGCCATGCATGTTGCAAGCCAATACCCAAAATAGCTAAATACTTCCTTCTCCGCAGTGTAGCGGCTTCGACTTATTTTAAGACAAAGTGGCTGGGAAATGTTATCCTCCCAGTCTCTTCACATTGCCTTCAGCAGCAGGATCATTTTCATACAAAATGAAACAGAGTAAGAGCAGTATTGCATCCAAACCAGCATCGCCAAGTTAGAGGGCAACACTCTCCTTCACTCTCCAAGACATAACAATCACACACATCACGACGACCTATCTCTGCATGTGCAGATGTACTGAGGGTGAACTTAGCACGAATACAATATAATGGTCTAAGAAAATTGATTCCGAACTTCTTATGCTAAGAAAACAAGTTCTACTATGATGTCTCCACCAAGTGCCAGATGATTGAAGTAGCTACAAATACTGATTCTCAAACGCAAAGTATAATGGGATCGCTAACAGATGAATGCACTATCTTAGTTAATGCTGCAGATACTGATGTTCAAACTCAAAACACAATGGAAACATTAACAGAAAAATTCACTATCTTATTTAATCATTAGAGGTGTCCTTGATCCGAGCTGGGCTGGGCTGGGACTGGGCCTACTCCTAAGACACTCAGGCAGCGGGCCTGACCGGGCCAGACCCAGTAATGAGGCCTAATTTCAAGCATGGGCCCTGCCTGCATTCATTCTTTGCAATAACCTTTAAGATCCTTCTACATGCTGGAAGTTAATTCTTGGGCATGCTAAGTTTTTCTAGGCCTAGATGTGGATGAATGCATGCCATGTACCTTGATATTGGTATTTATATCAAATTTATCAGTAGCTAATCTTATGCATGGTAAGTTCAAATTATAACAGGCGTAGGTCAGTTGGGAGAGAAACACTCTAAAATTAGTTGTATAATCTCGATCCTTTCATCCTTTAAAGTCCCATTTTTTATTTATTTTGCTTAAAGTATCTATCAACCCTCTCCTAGGTACTTACCCATGCCAACAACGCTAAACTCACAACTATAAGAGAACCTATTATCTTATTAATTTATAACTTGACAAGCAATTGAAAATGTTTTCCTTATGAGAAAAATATGTATGTAAAAGTAAAATGGAATATGTATAGATTTTTCAAAGTAAAATATTTGGTAAAGTTTTGGTGTTGATTAAATCATTGATTCAAAATAAAAAAAAAATA